AATTAAATCCTTCAGATTAAAATTAAATCCTTCAGAATAAAATCAAATCCTTCAGAATAAAATTAGATCCTTCAGATTAAAATTAAATCCTTCAGATTGGTACAGACGTCACGCACACGTAGCCTGGCAGGTGTGGCTGCGCGAGGTAACGAGTCATTGACCTTCTGCTGTCCATCACAGAGAGCGCGTCGTCCAATCAGAGCAGAGCGTTTATGACACCAGCTCCTCTTCCTCGGTGGTGTCTGACAGACCAAGGCTGATCACCGTGTCTTATTCATGCAGTTCTGACAGGAGCTCTCAGGACGCCTCAGACCGCCTGCAGGACCCTCCTGAACCAGGATGAAGGTTCAGGTACTGAAGAGAAATTATAGAACCAAACAGGAAGTTGTGAATCTATAATTCATTAATGGAGTTTATAATAATCTGATAACTTCAGCCTGTAAATATCTGCTTAATAAAATAACACAACAAATAAAATAAAATAAAATAAAAAATCTGTAAGTTTACGGCTTTTTAATATGTGAATAAATACAATAAATATATTAATAAAATATCCTGTGAATTTACATGTTCAATGTAAAATAATGTGAAAAGTCTGTAAATGTAAATAATCATAAAATTACTGCTTATTTCAATTCTTTCATCTATAATTTCACAGATATTTACTGTTTATTTAATAGATTAAACTGTTAAATTCAAGTTTAATTCTGTTAAAACATTTCTAAAATTATGTAAAATCAGTGACATTAACAGTAAATAAAGTATTGGTTGTGTAATTTTAATGTATTAGTTAGTTAACTGACAGATATGTTGTATAATGATGGAAGTAGAATAAATGTTGTTTATCAGTGTATAAGGTAAACTGTCCAAATACAGTTGTTATCAGTGTAAACAGCAATAATTACTGTAATCTCACAGATAATGACTTTTATTACACTTCTATAACTTTTAACATTCACATTAAAATAATAACAATCCAATAATAACAGCCCTCTGCTGGAAATGTAAGTCTGATTATTGTATTATAGCAGAGTTTAAACATTAAAAAGACAAAAAATTACACAAGATTTTATGTGAAGTTAAACCTAAAATTAAATTTGAATTATAGTTCTGGTTATTTTCTGTTCTGCAGTGTGTGAGGAACTCTGGTTAGTGTTCAGGGTTTCTGTATCTGAAGAACAAACACTGGAGCGGTGGGTTTGGTGGGTTTGGGCGCTGACTAACGCTTGTGACGAGAGGATTCGGGCTCTGACTAACGCTTGTGACGAGAGGATTCGGGCTCTGACTAACGCTTGTGACGAGAGGATTCGGGCTCTGACTAACGCTTGTGACGAGAGGATTCGGGCTCTGACTAACGCTTGTGACGAGAGGATTCGGGCGCTGACTAACGTTGGGGGCTGACTAACGCTTGTGACGAGAGGATTCGGGCTCTGACTAACGCTTGTGACGAGAGGATTCGGGCTCTGACTAACGCTTGTGACGAGAGGATTCGGGCTCTGACTAACGCTTGTGACGAGAGGATTCGGGCGCTGACTAACGCTTGTGACGAGAGGATTCGGGCGGTCTCGCTGTATTTTCTCCTCCATGAACAGTAAAATCTCCAGCTCGTCCTCCTCTGATGGACCGTTCTCCTCTCAGACTCACATCGACCATAAAACTGTAATTTCATCTCCATCTGTCTGCAGAGTATCATCCACCTGAAGACTACAGGCTGTTCATCAGCCTCTTAGACCCGCTGTCTTTATAATGGGACACCAGGTATTATCCATTTTGTGATAATATGATTTTGTATTAAATTATGACGCCCTGATCGCAGTTTTTTCAGACGCGTATTTCTGTTAAATGTTTCCAGCAGAGACGCAGTGGAGGGCAAAAACCCTGAAATTCAGTTTAGCTGAGTTTTTATTGCCAATAAAGGTTTTATGCTGATGTACAGTAAATTCTTATGATCTAAAATGATATTGCACAACATAAACTGATCAAATGAAGATCCAGTCTTGTAAAGGGAAAAGGATGTTTCTGATTATGTTCATTTTTTATATTGTGTTAAATGATCTCAGCATAAAAACAGGAGGAACAGGAAGCTGCTAGCTTAGCACAATCAAAAGACAACAAAGTGAGAAACGTTTCTTCATTTTCACACAAATCACCAAACAGTGAGCTCTGAATGCTACGTAGCATAACGTATCCTCATATCAACGCATATTTAAACCTCTGTTCAGTTTCTATTGATTGTTTCTATTTATTGGTTGTTAAACCTTCTTCTGATCATCTACCAATCTCTCAACCACAGAATCTAACATCTGTTAGCATGTTAGCTAACCAGCAATCTGGGGGAACAATTAAACATTTTATAAATTTCTCGTCCTCCAGCTAGCAAACCTGTAGAGTCATTAACTAGTAAACTAAAGAGCTATCCTTTAACCTTTGAACCTTAAGGAAACTATTAGCTTGTAAGGTAATTAAGATATCATGATCTCTTTAGCTGAAGTTAGCTCAGTGGTTCCCACATAATGAATTCAAATCAGTCAGAATACAAACTGTAGGCTGTCGCGACAATTATAGGTCATTAAATTCATTCAAATACATATTAAATAATAGGTACACAGACAATTAGCAGTGTGCGAGGTACTGTTAGCTATAACCCGTTATTGATATTAGTCAAACCACAATCTTACTTTCTTTGTTAATTATTGAGGCTAAAAAAAGTAAAAAAATGTTTGTAAGATTGTGACATTGAAACCTTTTATTTAAACCTAAATTAGTTTAACTAGTAAATGAATTAGTTCAGGAAGTAAATCAGAGAATTCTTTGTCTGTCACATTTATTTGAACTTATTTGAGCTAGTTGCAGCTTTTCCCTCCTGCTTCCATTCTTCGTGCTAAGCTATGCTAAACTAATGTTATAAATCTGAAAAGTGTCCTGAGATAACTTCTGTTAGGAACTGGTTGTTGCTTTTTCTTTCTCTTTCACTCAGAACACAAATCCGACATCAGAGTTGTTTTCTGCTACATTTAGCATGCTAACGTGAGGCTCCCCTTTAGATGTTTTCTGTGTTTGTTGCTGGACGCTGAGTTCGTTCTCCGGTTTCCACCCGAGGCGTCTCGCTCTGAAACCAAAGCGGAGGCAGGATGGAGGAGAGGGCCTGTATCCCAGAATCCCTCTGAGGGCGGCGCTCGGCGTCCCCGGTGGTGTTTGTGTTTTTGAGGAAATCTTTACAGTTTGGATGTTGGAGGCCGAACGAGGCGAGGCCGTCAGGTGGAACGTCGGCATGTGTTTACGAGGGATCACATTTGGTTGCTGACATGTTTCTGTGTTTCATTATTGACGAGGAGACGACTCCAAACATCCAAACTCCCCGAGCTCCTCCTCCGACCTGCAGCCGCTCTCGGAGCCGCTCACCTCCACCTCATGTTTATTTCATCACACACAACTTTACTCTGCACTCACAGTTTATTCTAAATGTTGCTGTTTGTCGAGCCTGAAACAAAGAACAGATTTTTATTTCACAATAAATTTCAACCTCATCTCATCCTCTGATTATCACACATTAATATGTTTAAACTGTAAATAATCTAAATGTTATCTGAACAAATTAATCTTAATGCATCTTAAAATTGTTATTTCATTCTGTTTTTATTGTGCGTTCTATAATAATAATAATAATATTGTTTATATTATTTATGATTGATTAGACTTGTCAACCACGCAAAAGTTAATTAACAGGACAAAAAATATAAATGTGTATGTAATAGACAATAAAACAACACAGAGTCCAAAGTCAAAGCTAACATTAATGCTAAGCTAGTGGAACATATTGTCTGATTGTGCTGTTAGCTGGATAACGTTAGCTTGATTGCTAATGTTAAATGATGTAGCGGTACAAAGCTAACGATAGCTTCCTGCTAGCTGAGAGGCATCCAGCTAGCTAACTGGGGTTGCCCGGCTGTGTCTGGCGTCGGTGTGAGTCTGGGGTTGCGGTGTGGGTCTGGGGTTGCGGTGTGGGTCTGGGGTTGCGGTGTGGGTCTGGGGTTGCGGTGTGGGTCTGGCGTTGCGGTGTGGATCTGGTGTTGTGGTGTGAGTCTGGCGTTGCGGTGTGGCGTTGCGGTGTGGATCTGGTGTTGTGGTGTGAGTCTGGCGTTGCGGTGGGGCGTTGCGGTGTGGATCTGGCGTTGCGGTGTGGATCTGGGGTTGCGGTGTGGGTCTGGGGTTGCGGTGTGGGTCTGGCGTTGCGGTGTGGCGTTGCGGTGTGGGTCTGGCGTTGCGGTGTGGGTCTGGCGTTGCGGTGTGGGTCTGGGGTTGCGGTGTGGGTCTGGCGTTGCGGTGTGGCGTTGCGGTGTGGGTCTGGCGTTGCGGTGTGGGTCTGGCGTTGTGGTGTGGGTCTGGCGTTGTGGTGTGGCGTTGCGGTGTGGGTCTGGCGTTGTGGTGTGGCGTTGCGGTGTGGATCTGGCGTTGTGGTGTGGCGTTGCGGTGTGGGTCTGGCGTTACGGTGTGGATCTGCGGCTGCGGTGTGGGTCTGGCGTTGTGGTGTGGGTCTGGCGTTGCGGTGTGGCGTTGCGGTGTGGGTCTGGCGTTGTGGTGTGGATCTGGCGTTGTGGTGTGGATCTGGTGTTGTGGTGTGAGTCTGGCGTTGCGGTGTGGCGTTGCGGTGTGGATCTGGTGTTGTGGTGTGAGTCTGGCGTTGCGGTGTGGCGTTGCGGTGTGGATCTGGCGTTGCGGTGTGGGTCTGGGGTTGCGGTGTGGATCTGGCGTTGTGGGTCTGGCGTTGTGGTGTGGCGTTGCGGTGTGGGTCTGGCGTTGTGGTGTGGCGTTGTGGTGTGGCGTTGCGGTGTGGATCTGGCGTTGCGGTGTGGGTCTGGCGTTGTGGTGTGGGTCTGGCGTTGCGGTGTGGTGTTGTGGTGTGAGTCTGGCGTTGCGGTGTGGCGTTGCGGTGTGGATCTGGCGTTGGGTGTGGGTCTGGTGTTGTGGTGTGGGTCTGGCTTGCGTGTGGTGTTGTGGTGTGAGTCTGGCGTTGCGGTGTGGCGTTGCGGTGTGGATCTGGTGTCGGTTGCTTCGTGGTGTTGGCTGATGGCTGATTTGTAAACAGTGAGCTAGTTAGTAGCGTGGAGCTAGAGAAATAAAGGATCACTGCAGATAGAAGCGTTGTTGAACTGCTGTTGGTCGTACAGAGTATTGGCAGCTTTAGCCTTTAAAAAGGTCAGAGAAGACAACAGAAGTGGTGTTTAAGGTTAAGGGATGTTAAAGGACAGCAGATGGCAGGAAGGATCAGTGCATGCTGGGAGTTGAAGTTCAGGAGTTTGCCCCTCCCGAGGCGTCAACCCGTCCACACACACAGACAGAAACAATGGTGGAGAGTTTCTCCCAGAAGAAGATCTGAGACCAACGGAGAGGAAAGTGAGAGATAAAGGAGCAGCAGGAACAACGGCGACACACAGACCAGCATCTGAAACCCTTTAAAGCCATTATACAGCCAGCAATTAGACCGAGCCCCGGAGCTGGTTCCAGGTCAGTTTCACACGAGTTAACACACACACACACACACACACACACACACACACACACACACACACACACACACACACACACACACACACACACACACACACACACACACACACACACACACACACACACACACACACACACACTCATACACAGTAACACACACACACACACACACACATATACATATACACACACACACACACACACACACACACACACACACACACACACACAAAAAAAATTTCATGAGGGAACATTGGGTGGGTTTCCCCGGTCCGGCCTTGCAGGGACGCCTGTTGGGGGGGGGGGGTGTGGTGTGGGTGGGGGGGGGGGGGGGGGGGGGGGTTTGTGTTGGTGGACTCAGGCGGGTCTGGGGGGGTTTGGTTTCTGTTTGGGGTTTTTGCTGCAGGTGATCTGCCCATTCAGAAGTCCATCTACATTTCTGCACGTTTAAGAGAAACTCTTATGGAAACTGTGTTTTATTAAAAATGAATCATTGTTTTATGATCTGCTGCTTTTTGAGGGATTTTTAATAATTGATATTTATTTGAGGTTTGATGAATAAAATCTGTTTTTAATTCTGTTTAAGAACAAAAAGACAAAACACTGCAAACGAGCCAGAGTTCCCCTGAAGGCACGTTTTCATCTTCTGTCCCCGAACAAACATTCAGGAATATAATCAATACTGAGGACTAATACAAGAGATTATCACCTAATCAATATTAATGCTTATTAACATGATAGAGACACTCCAGCAATTATCCTCATCCCAAAGTTGATTTTTATAATAAAGATAATAATTAATTAATTGATTAATAAACAGTTTTATACCAACAGGAAATTATTAAATACATATCAGAATAAACTTATTGATTATATTGATCAGTATACACTGTATCTTTATAGATTATTGATCAGTATACACTGTATCTTTATAGATTATTGATCAGTATACACTGTATCTTTATGGATGATATTGATCAGTATACACTGTATCTTTATAGATGATATTGATCAGTATACACTGTATCTTTATGGATGATATTGATCAGAATACACTGTATCTGTATGGATGATTATTGATCGTATACACTGTATCTTTATGGTGATATTGATCGTATACACTGTATCTTTATGGATGATATTGATCAGTATACACTGTATCTTTATGGATTATTGATCAGAATACACTGTCTCTTTATGGATGATATTGATCAGTATACACTGTATCTTTATGGATGATATTGATCAGTATACACTGTATCTTTATGGATGATATTGATCCTGTATTGACAGTCAGACTGTGGACATATGACGGCCTTTAGCTCGTGTTTCTAGAGTTACGTGTTGTTACGAACACGTTAGGAATTGTTAAAATGTGATATTTCTTAAAGGGAGTTTGGTGCAGGGAGCTTTTAGTTGGATTCAAACTGCTGATATGGATCATTGTTAACGTTTAGTCTCCACTACAGAAACACTAGCTAACTGAATCTCATAAATTTGACTTAAACTTTTTTCAATTATTATTGATTGAATCAGCTCCATATAGAACATAGCTCTAGAGTGTACACACTGTTATTGATCACAGTGTGAAGCTCCTCCTCACAGTGAACTATTAGGAGTGAAAATCAGTTTGTTATATTTGATTTTCTGGACTCTTCACCTGAATCTTAACCCTCAGTGACAACTCAACCTTTCAGAAAACCTTCCTCAGACTAAAACCTGCAGCTCAGCGAGGTTCAGAGTAAATGTTGTTGAGCAGAAACAGCATGTCGGCTCTCAGGCCCCATTAGAGCCGACAGCAAACAGCAGAAACAACCGTCCAATCAAACATCCATCGCTGCAGGACGAGTGGGAACCGACAGCATCCGCCTCCCCCGAGACACAGCTTGTATTATCTGACGGTAAACAGAAACCTCCTCCTCCTCCTCTTCCTCCTCCTCCTCCTCTTCCTCTCTGATACGCGTTATTACTCTGACACCTGGGCCTCACATGTGGAACTTAATGTCTTTTCATTTGCCATTTGTTTCCTCCTAAACAAGGTGTGCAGAGTCCGGGTGGGTTCGTCTGCTGGGAGCTCCACAGCAGCTGGAGGTTCACACACACACACACACACACACACACACACACACACACACACACACACACACACACACACACACACACACACACACATACAGACACACTCACTCATTAAACTGTAGCTTACTGCGCCTCTCTGAATGCTGGGCTACTTGTGGTTCCTATAGTCTCTAAAAGTAGAACAGGAGCCAGAGCCTTCAGTTACCAAGCTCCTCTCCTGTGGAACCAGCTTCCAGTTGTGGTTCGGGAGGCAGACACCCTCACCACATTCAAGAGTAGGCTTAAGACATTCCTCTTTGATAAAGCTTATAGTTAGGGCTGGATCAGGTGAGTCCTGAACCATCCCTTAGTTATGCTGCTATAGGCCTAGACTATCGGGGGATTTCCCATGGTGCACTGAGCTCCTCTCTTCCTCTCTCTTTCTGCACTCATTCATGTTCCATTAATGCATGTTACTAACTTCACTTCTTCCCCGGAGTTCTTGTGCTGTCTCGTCTCGCAGGTTCTTATCGATCCTGGTGGAGCCTCCTGCCATGGTCCTGCTAGATTGCCATTGCCAATACTGTTGTTGCTGTGCACCTGTCTGTCTGTCTGTCTCTCTCTTTCTCTGTCTGTCTCTCGCTCTCTCTCTCTCTGCCTCTCTCTCTCTCTCTTCTGCCTTTCTCTCTCAGTCTCTCTACCACCCACCTAGAGCCGGAGGATCTGTCCTAGGTTTCTGCCTTTTAACAGGCAGTTTTTCCTTGCCCTTGTCTCCAAGGTCTTGCTCATGGTGGTACTGTTGGGTCTCTGTAATTAATGTTTTAAAGAGTTCGGTCTAGACCTGCTCTATTTGAAAAGTGTCCTGAGATAACTTCTGTTATGAATTGGTGCTATACAAATAAATAAATTGAAATCCAGTGGTCGTTCAGTGAACTGCATCCTGGGCGTCGGCCAACAGTGACAAACACTAAATGTACTAAAATAACTGACAATCATATTTAGAATAACGTTCCTATATTACATTTAAGTTAAACATAAGTTAGCATCAAGGCTAACGTTAGCAGGTAAAGCTAACATTAGCCAGCTAACATTATGCACTTAAATAGTAATTTGCTAGCAATAAACTAAATAAGAAGATTAAATTCAACATAACTTGAAAAACAGAAAATAAAACAAAATCAGGATTTATTTCGGTGTTTGTTGTAACGACTAACAGACTGAATCAGTGAAATGTTTGAATGTGGAGTTTCTTTTAAAGCAACAAGCTCCTAACGAGAGCTGAAACCTGGTCCAGGTAATGAAGTCTCAGTGAGTGCAGATCATGAACCTCTCATCACACATTATTAAACACTCAGAAACTATCACTGAATTTAATTTCCATGAGTAGACGAGTTAATTCACTTTTCCTTTTTCTGCCTTTTTCTCTTTTAATTTGCGAGTGCGGCGGGGTCAGAGGTTAATGAGGACGCTCGCTGTCTTCACCTGTTCCATATTACATGAAGCGATCAGTGTGCCGCCAGGTGAAAGCCTCGCTAATGATCGCTTTAATCACAGCCGACACATTAAAGACAAACTGGATTCCAGTTGGAAAAGTTTTCTGTTGTTACAGGATGTGAAAGTTAACGAGAGGAAGAGATACTCAGATCTCCTGAAGTAAAGGAATCATTATAAACTGTGTTATTATTAGTGCTGTCAGTTTAACGAGTTATTAACGGCGTTAACGCAAACCCATTTTAACGGCGTCAATTTTTTTATCGCAAGATTAACTCCTAGCACACTTTGTAGTTTTTTCCACATGCTGTTGCAACAACTAGTAACGTTAGAAAAACTACAACACCACACCGGATCTAGCTAGACCGGAAACAAAACAACAGGCACTTGTTTAAGAGTAGTAGACGTTACGTTTTGAGTGGATGGCGAGCGCGAGACGCCGAAACTGATGGATTCCCTGTTGTCTGAAAATGTCAACAGGCTTGTCTGTTTGAGTAACTGGCTCAAAGCAAAGAAGTAGTAGGCTTTCCTTTTATTGGTAACCGTTACTGTTCATTCTTTCTGAAATAAGAGGCTGGGTTGAGCCTCTGGTGAATAAACTGCTATGTTCAAAGCAAACTTGAGAAAAGTATTAAGCCATGGTTTAACTGCACTATAGGCTGAGTCCTAGTTTACCTTACATGTGCACTTTGTAATTTTATTTTGTATCACCCTGTTTTGATCCCTTAGAAAGGGCTGTTGAAGGGGCTGTTTGTGGGACAAAGTACCTTTACCCTTTTATTGATGGACAGTGTTACATTGTGTGAGAGATTATTTGCTCCAAGTGAGAATGTTAGTGTGAAATTAAACACTACAGTATATGCCAATGTTGTTTTCAATAAAAACAACATTTGCACAAAGCAAGCCGATCCACTTTTCCATGTTGATAAGAGCATTAAAATAACGGGACAAAAAGAAATCAAGGGACATTTAGAATAGATAAAAATGTGCCATTAATTGGAGTTAACTACGACATTAATGCGATTAAATATTTTAAACATTTGACAGCACTTGTTGTATTTTACTCTGTTAGATTCTTAATGCTGATGAATCATTACCATCCCATAATGTTCAGAGAGCTAACGCCACGCTACGAGCTACAGAGAGCTAAGGGCCAGGAGGAGGAAGAGGAGGAGGAAGAGGAAGAGGAGGAAGAAGAGGAGGAACAAGAGGAGGAGGAGGAAGAAGAAGAGGAGGAAGAGGAAGAGGAGGAGGAAGGGGAAGAGGAAGAGGAGGAGGAGGAAGAAGAAGAGGAGGAGGTAGAGGAAGAGGAGGAGGGAGGGGAAAAAGAGGAGGAAGAGGAAGAGGAGGATTAAGAAGAGGAGGAGGAGGAGGAAGAACAGGAGGAAGAGGAGGAGGAGGAAGGGGAAGAAGAGGAGGAAGAGGAGGAGGAAGAAGAGGAGGAGGAGGAAGAGGAGAAGGAAGAACAGGAGGAAGAGGAGGAAGAGGAAGGGGAAGAACAGGAGGAAGAGGAAGAGGAGGAGGAAGAAGAGGAGGAGGAGGAGGAAGAGGAGAAGGAAGAAGAGGAGGAAGAGGAGGAACAAGAGGAGGAGGAGGAGGAAGAGGAAGAGGAGGAGGAAGGGGAAGAAGAGGAAGAAGAGGAGGAGGAAGAGGAAGAGGAGAAGGAAGAAGAGGAGGAAGAGGAGGAGGAAGAGGAGGAACAAGAGGAGTAGGAGGAAGAAGAAGAGGAGGAGGAGGAAGAGGAAGAGGAGAAGGAAGAACAGGAGGAAGAGGAGGAGGAGAAGGAGGAAGGGGAAGAAGAGGAACAAGAGGAGGAAGAAGAGGAGGAGGAGAAGGAAGAGGAAGAGGAGGAAGAGGAACAAGAGGAGGAGGAGGAAGAAGAGGAGGAAGAAGAGGAGGAGGAAGAAGAGGAAGAGGAGGAAGAAGAGGAGGAGGAGGAAGAAGAGGAGGAAGAAGAGGAGGAGGAAGAGGAAGAGGAGGAAGAAGAGGAGGAGGAGGAAGAAGAGGAGGAGGAAGAGGAACAAGAGGAGGAAGAAGAGGAGGAAGAGGAAGAAGAGGAGGAGGAAGAGGACAGTTATACTCTGTTAGAACTGTTGCTGCACGCATCCTAAAGGAGAATATTAAAATGGAAGTAAAAGCACTTTTAATGACTTATTATTATTAATTGTTATTATGAATTATTATTATTAATTGTTATTATTAATTTTTAGTATGAATTATTATTAATTGTTATTATTAATTATTATGAATTATTATTAATTGTTATTATGAATTTATATTATTAATTGTTATTATTAATTATTATTAATTGTTATTATTAATTGTTAGTATGAATTATTATTAATTGTTATTATTAATTATTATTATGAATTATTATTATGAATTGTTATTATGAATTATTATTAATTGTTATTATGAATTTATATTATTAATTGTTATTATTAATTGTTAGTATGAATTATTATTAATTGTCATTATGAATTATTATTATTAATTGTTATTATTAATTATTATTAATTGTTATTATTAATTGTTATTATGAACTATTATTAATTGTTATTTTGAATTGTTATTATGAATTATTATTATTAATTGTTATTATGAACTATTATTAATTGTTATTATGAATTGTTA